AAAACTCAACCCTGGTCTCGGTTTCGAGTTGGTCCAGCGGTTTTGACCACAATCAAAGCTGACTGGGCATTGCCAAGTAAGCATAGGGCAGGGAGGAATAAAAAAGATGAATCAATCTCATTTGTCTCCGCTCCACCTCGACCCCCTTCTCCTCCCGCTACAGAGTCGCCACCGCCGCCGCCGCCGCCGTACCCGCCGCACCTGACTCCAGCTGCCGACGGTGACCGGCGCCGCTGCATCTCCGCCGCCCCGCCCCACCCGCAAGCCAGCTTGAACTCCGATGCATCTCCGCCGCCCCGCCCCACGCGCAAGCCAGACCGGAGCTCGGAGGGCAGCTGCCGACGTGGCTGCGAGGTGCTGTCGAGGCAGCGGCCCTGGATGTGCAGCACTAAGCGGCTGCGGTTGGCGGTTGTGGACTACGCGGCGGCCGACGGCACACGGGGTGGCTGTGCGGTGGTGGCCATGAGCTCGGCCGGCAGGAGGCACGGGCTACCACGGCCGGGCGAGGCGATGCAGGGCAGCGTCGGGGGTGTGGTGTCAGGCAGCAGTGAGGTGGCGTAGGCGGAGGCCGATGGTGGTCACCGACGCAGTCGGCTGCGGGCGGCGGGCGCGGTGGCCGAAGTGGAGGAGGCCAGTTGGGCGAGTTCTCACGTGATGGGAGAAGAGGCAGGGGAGGAAGGGGGGAGGGGAGAGGTGGCGTGGCGGACGAGGTCGCCGGCCGGCGGCTACCGACGGCGCGGCGGCCGGGGCAGGCGCCAGATCGGGCGGCGCTCAACCTATCCTGTCTCACGCGTGAGGGGAGACAGAGGAGATTCATCCAGTTTTTTTATTCCTCCAAGCCCCCTGCTTACTTGGCAGCCCAGTCAGCGTTGACCGGTCAAAACCGCTTGACCGACTCGAAACCGAGACCAGGGTTGAGTTTTGAACCTAGTAGTTAGTTAGAGGTGTATTTTGACCGGTTTCGAAGTTGAGGGTTGTAAGTTAACTGAGTGGTTTGTTCGGGGTTAAAATGTGGACTTTTCTCTCTTTTCGAGGGCTCTGAGTTTGTGTTCCGTCCGATGGATGGCTGCCAACTCTAACCTAGTCGGGCAGGTAACTACTCCAATGCACTAATTTTCCTAACTATATTAGTAGCAATTCATCGACAAGTGTAGCACCATCCAATTATGATGTAGCAAATCTGTGATTAGTATAGCATCATCCAGTTATGATGCAGAAAATCTATGATTAGTAATAACACCATCCTCTCTTCTAATGTAAGCAGTTGAAATTCAGATAAGGTTTCATCTGTCATACACCTTTTGCATAACTCAACCACTGCAGTAACTTACATCGTTAGTCCACCCAGGAGCCTGCGGAAAAATTGCACTGACTCGCGTCGCCACTATCCGCGTGCTCTTGAATCACATCGAACTGGTCCCCCTCAACAGATCCTTGCATCGGTTCTGCTCCCGCTAGTTTTCCATTGTCTGCCTCGCTTTCGCTGTCCCCTGTTGGCCTGCACCGGAATAGATCCCCGCAACCGCACTGGTTGGGTCTCCAAGCAGGGATCCATTCGCACAAGGGTGAACTATGATGTTGGCATCATACCGTAAGGCCAGCTCTGCCACTCGATCCGGCTCCTCTTCCGTGAAGAATTGTAACCTGAATAAATAAATAAATAAACCCAACTTTAAATATTAGCTGCACTATAGACATCAAGCGTACCACATATTCACCTGGCCACTGGATACACAGGGAAATCCATCGCTGAAAAGCCACACGCGCAGCCACGCCTTCCGGGGCCACCGAGGTTGAGCAGCAGGACATCCTCCACGCATGTAAGCTCCCAGTACTTCATATAGACATAAGGTTTTTTGTGGATGGATGCGGGCGGAGACAGATTTTTCTCGCCTGTTTGTGACATTTTTTTATGGTTGTTCTTGGTCTCTATGGCTACACTAGGTTTGGAGAAGGAAGAAAGGCAGCATTAGTAGTGGATGAGACATGGTGGTGGGGCTTTGACCTTTCTTTTTTGATCTGAGTTTTGACCTCTCCCATGTCGTGCTTTTATATACAAACTAGTGGTGTGGCCGCGGCTAGAAAATTAATAAATAGTATGATATTTTCCGTTTCTCTCCGAAAAGGATGTCATACAACAGACCATCGGTCAAAATATGGTAGAGAAGTGTGCCTCATCAAACATGGCCATCATTTTATAGTGATATTTCCATTAGTGCATTAGGGTATTATAAGAATGGATACCAAACCATCAATGTCATGGAGCTTTGGACCCATTCTTGCTCCTACATTAATGTAAAATTCTACTAATTTGAAGTTTTCTTTTTACTGAGCACTACTCTCCCACAGTCCGACATGAACCTCGAGATTTCATTATCCACGCATTTCTTTGTTGGATGTATTGCAGCGGCCGTTTTTTGTTACCACAATTTCATGCTATTGTATGCTTACTCACCAGTTAAACTTAGACTCACAGTATCTATGTGTATTTACTTATTTTGGTAGCACAATTAAAATATTTTGTTGCGCACATGTTGTATTTACAACCTATTTGCTAAACTCTCACACTCCTTTTTTGTCTCCCAAACGTATTTACTGTTTCTTATAATCTAGAGACTATTATTTGAACGACCATCTATAGTGATGTAAATAAGTCAGCCCAACATGTCGATTCCACTACTCATGTAATGTAATTTAGGTTCCTATTTATTGTATCGCTAGGGACTTCCTAAAGTTTTCTTTAAAAACTGAAACTATAGGTATAATAGAGCATGCTAAAACATCCTTGCTTCCCAAGCATAAAATAATTAAGTTTTTTTCCATCGTACAATTACCGAAACAACTTTAATTAAATTTTGACGTGATTTATTTTCTCTAATCTTTGTAGCAATCAAAAAAGTATATTTTTCTTTGGTCATATGAGATACCACTTGCGGATACATGTGACTGGTTTGCATATTGTTCGTGCATGATTTCATGAATGTTTTTCACCTAGTCATAGTACGTGTAAATTTATATTGGCTGGCCCAGTGCCATCTTCCTCTTGACATGACGCCCAAAACCTAGAGGCCCATGTCGAAATTATTCCAAAATCAGCCAACACTATCTACGGTAGTAGCAACCTTACTTTACCAGCGACCGACCGTTCCCCTCGCTGTCAGAAGTAATTTAGGTAGATATATATGAAGCACTACGGCAAGCAGATGTTTCTGTATATTGTGAATTTTTTTACAATGAATTTTTTATATTCTTTTAGTTGGCATAGCATAGTCTTTTTTTTTTTGAGGGAGCATAGCATAGTCAGTAGGTATAGGTTGACATTATCATGCATGCATGCAGTTAATAGGAGACCATGGGGTTTGGTCGTGAGCTTGTCATGCATCTGCATATATATGTGGCTAAGGCACCTAGTCGGCCATCGAGGAGAAAGTAATTTTTTTATGGAACAGTAATATTAATTTTGAATGGGTAATGAGCAGCGAAGTACGGCTGGAACGTAGTAATTAGTACTGTCATTGTTTTGTGAAAAAAAAACATACTGCCATTATTTTTTAATGCATATAGCGCCAAACCGAATTGCTAGTGGCCGCTTGTGTCCTAAAGCAAATCTTGCCGATTCTATCCCACCACAACTACTTCAAGTTATCTTTTTTTTCTAAATTGTGCCAAGATTTGTTTCATAGGCTCATATAGGATACGGACACTTCTTTCCATTGGTTGTCTGCGCTCATATGTTATACGCATACATATGTTATTTGTGGTTATATTTTGGCACGTGTCAGATCTAAAAGATTGCACATGATATTATGTTACGTAACTATTAGATCTTTAAAAATCTCAACCGTTATATTCTAAATCAACGGAGTATATATTTTTAACATATATGGACGAACGTGATGGCTCGTTTTACTTCTGTATTATGTATATAATAGATAGATAGATTCTAGTTCTTGTAATTTCCCCAAAGATAACTAGTTGGCACGTAGTAGCCACATTATGAAATAAATTCAAGCCGTCGGCCATCTGCTCTGATTTACTTGCTTTCTGGTTGTAGTATTTATCATACTCCCTCCATTCTAGAAATACAGTGCATATTTTGTTTTCTAAACTTCAAGAAAAAATTATCAACATCGACAATACAAAAGGAGTATCATTAAATTCATTATGATGTGTACTTTATATTTTATTTAGTTAGTACTTAAGATATTAGAAGGGGAGCCTTGGCGCAGTGGTATAGCTGCTGCCTTGTGACCATGAGGTCATGGGTTCAAGTCCTGGAAACAGCCTCTTACAGAAATGTAGGGAAAGGCTGCGTACTATACACCCAAAGTGGTCGGACCTTTCCCTGGACCCTGCGCAAGCGGAAGCTACATGCACCAGGTTGCCCTTTAGTACTTAAGATATTAATATGCTAAAAACTTGGTGGAACATAGAAACGTTTGACTTGGAAAAAAAAATATGCACTATACTGTGGAAGGGAAGGAGTACTATTCTCTGTTGATGTCATCATCTGCTGTGTCTCGTATGCCCTTTATTTTGATCCATAATAATGCAGGTATTTGGCATACTGGCCCTGACACATACCTCTGTTATGTGAAGCAAACAGAGCTAAGATTATAATCAGCAGCGATCCTTCGTTCTTCAATCAAGAAAAGGCTGATATCAGCTTCCACCTTTCAGAAACCATGAAGCTAGCTTATGGATTAATCTTTCTGGGGTTCTTACAGTCTGTTGCATGTCAGATGATTGATCAACAGGGTAAGACCTTTATACTGGGATTTTTACCTTCAGCACATAAAGTAACTTGAAAACTGAACTGCATATTCAGATTAAGAATTTTGACCAGAAGATGTCACACATTACTAGTGACGCCAAAAAAAAAACTGTGCAGTAGAATAGACATTTTTTTTCAAAGGGCTGTAGAATAGACTCTTTCGAAAATATAAACACTTCACTGGATTTTGGATCCTTGCACCTGTCGTTGTCAATTGTGTGAATTAGCAATGCCGAGAAAACAACCATAAGAAGAGACGAACACATATCCTTTCTTTTGTGTGTGAAATCACGACATTTTCATTGTAGTGCCTTGGTGCACATTCACTTCATGCAATGGAATAGTCTTTAAAAATGTAGACACTTATTTTGAGCTTCTGCAGCGGTAGAACAAGCTTAAGCATGAGCTTCCCTTGATTATCCAGAGGGCAAAGAATAAACATCTTAATCAGTTTTTCGGTGCTTAATCAGTTTATTGCTTGGCGTGATCTTTTCATGTTATTTGTTTTACGATTTTATATATCCTTTCACTAGCTCTACGTCAGTTAGAGTCCATATTGCAAATAAAACATGCAATAGATGTTCTCTTTGATTGATTATTTACATTTTTATTACTAATAAAACTTGCCTTTCTCCAGTCCAGGTTCTGTCTGAAGTAAAGATGATGCTGAATGACAGTCGCGGTGTGTTAGAAGAATGGAATGACCATCTAGATACTGCATGTAGTGCTATTGCTACTGTCATGTGTGCTGAAGGGCAAGTCGTTCAAATGTAAGTGAAGCCTAGCCTAATCATCTCAGTTCTCCACAGTATGTTTACATTCTATCCTTTGAACAGAGGAAAGAATCTCGCGCATTTTGAGTAAAGCATATCCTTTGTGTTTGATACCTACTTTTCCTTGGATAAAGAGATTTCATTTAGATTGCACATTCCTTGTCTTTTTTTTTTTTGAGAAATTGCACATTCCTTGTTAAAATTTTGTTTTCGCTCTCACGCTCACATGCCCCAGAAATCTGTACCGATCACTCTTGTTGAGATTAGCACTAGCTCTTTTATTCCGTCCGTATACGAAATTTCATATTGTTTTTGTGAGACACCGCACGACCCATGTTTGGCACTCACATTGAATGCATTTTCCACATCTGTGCTGACGTAGGCACTAGACATAACGTTATGTACCTATAGCCAGCATCCATCCCCTACCACACAGGCCCACACAGCTCAAACCTTGTCTTCGGCAACCCATAATCGCCATGGAATTTCTGCTTCTTCCTGGAGGTACAGAGGATCTCAACATCCTCCCACTTGTCTCATGCCCCCCGCATTAAGTCTCCCTATAGTACGCCGGGTATGTTAGTGTTCATGCGCGTGTATCCTCAACGAAGATGTGTATGGCACACATTCGCATTCCAGACTTAACGATAACAGAGAGTATTTGACAAAAAAAACTACCACATTAGACGTTGCCGTCTCACCGAGATACCACATTTAAAAAAGTGACCGATAACTATCAAAAATCTTCATTTTATGACTAAAAACTACCACTTTTAAAAATGGTCAATTTAGACGATTTAAACACGTTTATGACATGCAAGACCCACCCGTCAGGGCTGACGTGGCGGCAAAGTCAACTAAGTTTGTTTTGACCATTAGTGTTGACCGTTATGACAAGTGGGGCCCACATCAACCTTCTTCCTCCTCCTCTCTCTTTGGCCTTTCAACAAACATCTTATGTGCATGGGAGGAAAGCAGGTGAACTCCGGCCGACGAACGCGAGCGTGTTCATCCAGCTGCCGTCCCTGACCCTAGCACCGAGCCGCACCGCCCCCCTCCACCGCGCAGGCGCGCGCCACAACCACGCGCCGCCGCAGCGCCCGAGCCGCCCATCCCCTCCCTTGCTCGCACGCAACGCGAGCTCGTGCAGCCATGGCGTCCCTGTGCCTCGCGCCCCTGCCTCGACAGAAACTCTGGCGAGCCCTCAAGCTGCTTCCCGCCGCACGCCGGCTTCTTGGCTGCTGCCGCTGCTTCGGGCCTGCTGCTGCAGCGCACCGGCGCGTGCGTGCTTTCCTCCGTCCAGCGCCTCCGCCTCCACGAACCCCTCCGTCCTCACGGCCGAGCGCCTCGCCTCTGGCCAGCGTCGCGAACATTCGCGATCGCGCGCGCCCGGAGCAGGTGCACCGTGCACGCTTGCCAGCTACCGTCTCCCACATCTGGCCGGCGCCGCTGCATGCTGCTGTCGTCACCGGGGTGCGAGGAGGAGGTCCTTGGCTAGCAGCAGCACGCCGCCGTCGCACGCCTGCAGCTCGCGCACGGTGGCGTCCCAGCTGCCGAGGACGTCGCCGAGCACGTCAAGAACCTGACGGCCAAGGGGCGGACGGCCATCCTGCTGTACCACGCCGTGTCAGACTACTAGTCGCTGCAGCTCCTGACGCCCGACAGCGGCAAGGTAGCACGCTCGCCACCTCCAACGCGACCTCGCCGTGGTGGCGAGGGGGACCTCGCCGTTGCCTCCTTCCCTTAGATGCACAGAAGGTGCTTGTTGAAATGCCTGAGAGAGACAGAGGAGGATGAGGAAGGTTGATGATGATGTGTGGGCCCCACTTGTCATAAGGGTCAACTTGAGGGTCAAAACAAACAGGAGTTGACTTTGTCGCCACATCAGCCCCGACGGGTGGGTCCCGTTTGTCATAAACACGTTTAAATCATTTAAACTGGCCATTTTCCAAAAGTGGTAGTTTTTAGTCACAAAATTAGAAAAATTTGATAGTTATCAGTCACTTTTTTGAATGTGGTAGTTTAGTGGGATGGCAACCCCTAATGTGGTAGTTTTTTTGTCAAATACTCATGGTACAGATATAGGGAGCATATGTGATCGGTGCCAAAACATCGTGCCCGTCATTATAATCGCTAGTTTCATACAATTCACGGTTCACAAGGATGTTTGCTTAGCATCTATTACTAAGTTTGTAATAGCACGTACCTGTGTTCACAAGACTATTTCTGAGCTTCTCATTTCTGAATTTGCAGAACCTTGAGCTCATCAGGGTTAAGTGGAGTCTTGTCACCCAGCATTGCGAAGTTGACAACACTACAACGGCTGTAAGACCAAGGATTAATTACTTATGAAATCTATGATTTGTTTCTCATGAAAATGGTGTAGAGATAGATATCCATTAAAAAATTGTTCTACTATCGTTATTCTCACATATCTTCGTTTCAGGTTTTTAGATGGTAACAACATAACTGGAGGAATACCACAAGATATTGGGAATCTTTCAAGTCTGGCAATTCTTAAACTTCAAAATAATCTTTTCAATGGCTCGATACCCGATTCATTTGGCCGCCTTTCAAAACTGGAAAATCTGTAAGTCAGACCATGAGTTGTGTTATCTCTTCGTATTATGGTAACATAGGAGTGTGACTTTGACAGGGATCTGAGCCATAATCATCTAAGTGGAAATATTCCAATTTCTTTGTCAAATATTCCATCCTTGAATTCCATGTAAGTTTTTTTTTCCATGCTGATATAAGAAGAGAAATCACCGAATGTCACTGTTGTCATTGCAAGCCTTGTATTTATTTTAATAAGCAAATAAGACCATATGAAGTCAATTATGTGATGATCTTCGTGTTGTTTTGCAGCAATCTGGCATATAACAATCTTAGTGGTGAAATACCTGAACTACTTCATGCGTCCCTATACAAGTATGGCCTACCTCAACTTTAGTAGTAGCTTATATTTATAAAAGCAATTTTATGCACTCTTTCAATTAGCATACTGAGTGTAATCATGTGCTTCTAGCTATACCGGCAACCACTTAAATTGTGGTCCACACTCAATGCCATGCGAAGGAAACATCAATGATACAGGTAATCCAGAAACCTACATGACAATCTGTATGGAACCCAATATTTAGGTTGAAAAACATTTGTTGACAGGTGGATCAAGAAAATCCACCATAAAGGTGGTTCTTGGAAGCATTGGTGGAGCAATAGTTCTCGTCCTGGTTGCTATTCTAATCTTGCGAAGAATGCCTTGCCGACGTTATTTATGTTCTGATGTTCCAGGTTAGTAAGGATTAGCTGTAAAAAAAATTTGTTCATGCATGTTTACCATATTGAAATTTTCACCATGAAAATAATTTTCCATCTATTGTTGTGGAATTCCACAAAGAAAGCCTTTTTTTTATCAACTGAGGACATGATAAACCTGTAAATCAAATTTCAGATGAGCATGCTCTAAGCTTAGATCTTGGGCAGACACAACAATTCTCGTTGCATCATCTCATGATTGCAACAGGAAATTTTAGTAGACAAAAATTTCTTGGTAAGGGCTCTTTAGCTAAGGTTTACAGAGGAGTTCTTCCAGACCAAGACGATAAAGCGGTTGCCGTCAAACGATTTGTCAAAATAAAAAATCACGGGCGTGATATGGCTTTCAAACGAGAAGCTGAAGTTATAAGGGTGCCTGTCCACAACAATATATTGAGATTGATAGGGTATTGCATGGAACGAAAGGAGCGCCTGTTGGTTTATCCTTTCATGGAGAATTTGAGTCTTTCTTCTAAGTTAGAAGGTAATATCAGATTCCTAGCAGATTTTCTTATATATTTTTCTATGCACATATTTCGTTGATGGCTTTTGTTCAGTTGAAGTATTCAGTTCTAATATAGTCATTGGCAGACACAATGTCTTCTGTGAATGATTAATTACGAATGTCTGACACCACCAAAAGTAAAGATAACTGAACTATCTCTACTTGTATGAGACAACATAATAACAAGTCAGTGTAGGATAGTATTATACATTTATACTCTTAAAACGTCTTACATTTGTTTACAGAGAGAGTATCATATTAGTTTGCTTCGAACTATCGTTGAGGAAACTGATGAAATCACATAAATATGTAGGTTTGAAACCAAATGAACCAACATTGGATTGGGCAAAAAGAATGAAAATTGCTCTTGGCATTGCTCATGCTTTGGAATACCTTCATGATAACTGCAACCCCCCGATTATCCACCGTGATATCAAGGCTGCCAATGTCCTGCTCAATGGAAATTTTGAAGCTGTGCTAGGAGACTTCGGATTGGCGAGGGTGATGGACCAAGGGAAGGAAATAGTGACGACAGAGATCCAGGGAACAGTGGGCTACATGGCTCCTGAGTACAGGAGTACAGGAAAGGCATCAACGAAAACGGACGTATATGGATACGGTGTCTTGGTGCTAGAGATTGTGACGGGAAAGGGTCCAGACTTCCACGTTAATGTAAGCTTCTCTGTCCTGTTGTTATTTACAAGTACTTTGAACGCTTCTTTGCAGATCTGTGTATGTTGGTACAATTATTTTTTTTAAATTGGATTTATTTTTCATCTCACACGTGAATGAATCATTTTCACCTTAGCAATATGAATAGGTTTTGATATTTTAATAGTCAAATTTATAGAAGTTTGACCGATGACTATGATGACACGTACTCTGTATTTAAAAACAGAGGTCGTACAAATTAATGTGGGAATTTTTATGTACATAACAATGAAGTTAGGGTTCTGCTTCAGTACAACCTCATTATAATTAAATCAATGCAAGAGAATAAAATATACCCCTTCAGATGAGAGGTTATGATGGTCTAATTAAAAAATAATCTATATTCATTAATTGATGTATGTAACTTCCATCTACGGATCAAAGTTTACATAGACTTAGACATAGGCAATTATTAACGATAAACGGAGCTTTATTACATAGGCAATTATTAATAGAGACTTATACTTGGACTTAGACGGGTATATTCTTAGAGCTGGATCCCCACTTATTATAATAGTATAAAAGATAAGATTACCTTTATTTTTTTTACTATTTGAAATGAGGTAGTATACTGACGCGAACCCCTGAAGTATAATTATTAACAGAGTGTTACGACGGATGACTCTGATGAACAATAGAACATAATTTTCTTTTCATGGTTTATAAAGCTTGGGCTCTTATGCTGTTGACTGATTGACTAATGTGAAGGTGAAGCATCTGATGCAAGAAGGCAAACCGCAAGAAATTGTCGACCCCAATTTGGATCGTGCATATCAGCGTGAAGAGTTGATAAAACTTATCAAGATATCACTGTTCTGCACCCAAGAGGAAGCTGATCGCCGCCCTACGATGTCAGAAATTGTAAAGATGCTTGAAGCAGATGTCCAGCAATACCGGTGGGGTGAGTCGCTGTGGGCTCAGCTTATCTCTCAGCCTTGGCGCGAGCAGCATGATCAAATGGTGATACAGAAATTGTTTGACTTAGGCAATGCCCCCTCTCCAGATAGCCAACCTGTATCGGAGGCGGACAGGGCAAGTCTTGGGGGAGAAGAAGAACAGGCCCGTGGACAGTGTGGGAGAGAGGGGAGAGTAGCCATCAGCGTGAGTGGGTGAGTATGACGTGTGGGATACAGGGTCCAGGGGCCGTATAAGAAGGCAAGCGTGCATTGTAATCGACAGCTAAATATTCAAGTATACCGAGACTTTGGACGACGGGAGGCCGTATGTGCTGGCTGTTGTAGGTGACGGATGGACCGCCGGTACAGGACCTGCATCGGACATGGACTATGGTCCAGAACTTTTCCCGTGTCTACACACGACCGCGCAGAGTTGGATACCGAGACGACAACAATGGCTGGCGCCGCCGATGGCGATTTCCCTATGGATCCGGTGTTCCAGTGAGGCCTTCCCTCTTTGCTTTATTTCCCCCCTTTTTTTTTCCTGTGCATAGAGAGGCCGTATGTCGACGGCCGTGTTTGCTCACTGCCGGCGTCTTGTTTTGCCTTCCGTTCGTGCTTGCAGATGAGAAGCGAGGTGGGTAGCGGAGGACCAGCTGCCCTGCGGGTCTCGTCCGTGGGCCGTGGCGGGGCGCATGGCAATGGTGGCGCGGCCGCCGCAGACGACGCAAACAGCAGGGACAGAGTGCCTGCGGCGTCCTGAGAATCTGCGATGAAGCCGGATCAATGGGCACCTGGGTGGATTAAGAGGTATTGGAATTTGATTTAATCTAGTTACTCTGAAAATGCCGAACTGAAACCATGTCATGTCCTCGAGCTGGATCAAGTAATAGCTTAAGCGTTGCTGTAGTCTGGTTGCTGCCGCTTAATAGCTTAAGCGTTGCTATTGTTTATATATTAAACACTTGCATCATTAGAGATATTGGGGAAATTCGGCTATGTTCCGATGCCAGTCTATTGTTGCATTTACCATTCCTCTTTTTGTGTCTGTCTTGTCTTAACAAGCGAGGCAGGAAATGTAACATAACTTCAAATATAATTTTTCCGAGCATTTGAATTGCACTTGATAATTGCTCATGCATTTTACATGTCATGGCTGAAGCAGTTTCTTGTTTCTTCCACACGTGGACCATATTTTACCATGAGGCATGGTAGTCTATTTTCAAAATTGGAATACTTAATCCAATGCAAAATTATGCTTCGCGACTCTGTACTCATAATCCAATATTTGCTCTGTTATGCTCTACAAAGTTGGAGCCTTTCTTAGATAAAAACGTGAAAAGGTAAAATAAATTCAGTATGCTCAATGTGAAGATCTTAAAATGATTAAAAGAACGCAGAACATGGAAGTAGTTAGATGATATTACAATGCTTCTACATCAGAAATAACTTGAAGCAGAGGATATCTAGGTGGTTCTGGCACTGAATGAGGTAACTTTGCTAGTTACTCGTCTATACTTTTTGACCCCAGTTCTTCGTCTATACATCAGCAAAACTGTTAGTGCTGCTATTGTTGCATGGATTATGCAGTTCCTTACGCGATTCATGTATTTCCCATGTGTTCACAATTGGATATGGAGTGGCAGACAACATGATGAGTTAGACAGCTAAGTATATGGTTTCACTTTTCTCATGTGTCAGCCAAGTACGTAGAACTTATATTTGGAAAGAGTGCACCATAGGTTCTGTACAACTATTTGGTTTGTGGTGGCTGAGCATATCTTCATATTTGTGTTGTCCAGATGCACTACAAAGCATAACTTGGCTGACAATATTCTAACTTCCAACTGATATTTATCAGACCAAGCAATCAAAAGAAATCTTTGAAGAAACTTCAGCAATGCTCGCAAGACAAACTTCAGTTTTGCCAAAAACTATTATTTCCATGCCCTGACTGAAACTTGTTTATGCACAGTTTTGCTGTTGACACGCAGTTATTGCTTTCATGCCCATTGCATTGTGTCGCTGCTCCTCCCCAGGTTGCGCACCACCTTGACCATGGCCAGAACCAGCTGCTTACCCTCACTGCCGTCATGTTGTTTGGCTCATTTTGCGGCCTCCTGCCCAGCTTGATCAAGACAGTCTGAGGTTCTACATCCTTTATATTGCCGCGGCGATCATCATCGCTGAGGCTGTGCACATCCTTTATATTGCCGCGGCGATCATCATCGCTGAGGCTGTGCACATCCTTTATATTGCCGCGGCGATCATCATCGCTGAGGCTGTGCACACTCACATTCTTGGACCGATGATGTATGGTGTTGCTGATCAAGATTCAGGCAAGCACCTTTCCTTCCCATCGTGCTGCTGCTACCCAGCTCAGGCACTGTCATGGCTGTATTCCTGTACCACTTTTCTGCAAATGACGACGATGCTTAGCTATTTTATTTATTTATTTATTTGCAGACAACAGTTTGCAGTTTGCTTAGGTCAGGGAACATCTTCTGGACCTTCTCATATGTCGTCTGTGTGTGAAACTTGCTTCTCCCTTTTTCTTTACCAGGAACGTTTCCCTTTTTTATCAGGAAATTGTTTCGCTTTTCAACTCTACGGTACTGTAATAAACTGATGCTTAACGTAGTTCAGTTCAAATAATGAGGATGTTTCATTTACATGCAGACATATTTCAGCTTTATTGAGCTTGTATGCTTGCATGCACAGTTTGATGCGCACTACATGGATCTGAATAATTCCCATCAAAAAGGGATTAAGCGAATTAACCAAAATGGTAGGGATTAGAAGCAATTCCTAGCTATAGGCCATTTTGCAAACGGGCTCCTGAAGTGAGCTGGCCTGGCCTGTTTTTTCACCTTTTTTCCTGTTTTCTAATTCCAGACTGCAAAAAAAGCGTAGAAACCGTGATTCCAACCTGCGACGTTAGTGTTTTGTGTATGGTGCGATAACCACCCGACCACCTCACCCTTTTTTGTATATGAGTACGTGGATGTTTTTCCTCTGTTCTTTTTTCTCCTCTTTTTTTTTTCTTTTTTTCTCTGTCTTTTTTTCCTATTCCTTTCATAATTCGCGAACTTTTTATTCAAACAGATGAACATTTTTCTTTTTAAAATGCATGAACTTTTTTTAAATTTGATGAACTTTTTTCAAAATGGATGGTCTTTTGTCGAATTTGATGAACTTTTCCAATTTTTCAATGAAATTTTTACTAAATTCAATAAAAAAATCAAATTCGATATTTTTCCAAGTTTGTGAACTATTTTCAGAATCGATGAACTATTTTTCAAATGCGATGATGGACTTTTGCATAATCGATGAACTTATTTCAAAATGGATTAATATTTATTTTTTCGAGATGGATGAACTTTTTTCATTTTTGACGAACCTTTTGTCAAAAAAATTACTTTTTCCACAATTCGTGGTTTTTAAATTTTTGTGGATTTTCTTTTGAAATAATCAGTATTGTGTATATAATTTAGTGTTGTACTAGAAGAAGGGCTTTTCATGATTGTAAACAAGCATGTTAGCTCGTTCTAGTGGTTACGACTTCCAGGAGGTTGTTGGTTTTATGGGGAGTTTGAATCCTGGTTCTCACCCTGTACCTATCTAAATATTTTTTATTTTCGCGGTTTCTCTATTTGTTGGGCTGGCCCACGACGCTTCCCCTTCGAGCACCCTCAGTGCCAACCACAGGAGCGGGGGATCTGGGCCGCCCCAATACCTTGTGGTCCTTGAACTTGTTCTTTAGATAACACAAGAAAATTTCAAACAAGAAAGAAGCCACAAGATCCACAAGAGTATCAGGACTGGAATGACATGTATTTTATGAGTATCACTAGGTGAGTACTCCTTTAGATATAGGCATGTCCCCAAAGAATCTAATAAGATTTGCAATAGACTTCAAGGATTTTTCTCCCCTAAACTTGAACTTCCTCTCCGCGTGAATCTAGCACTGGATAATGGGAGTAGGTAGGATGAGAAAAATCAGAACAAAGTACTAAATTAACAATAAACTATTTTTTTACTGTGCGAGGACAGTAGGAGAGGCTCCTACTGCCACATTTTCTATTTATATATAGAAACGCTTTTACAGGTACATTTGTTTTGATCCACAAGCTCACCGGGTGTCCCATTGGTAAGCCATGAGGCTAAGTGGGGAGCGACAGGTCCTCAGTGGGGAAAACACAAGCAAAAAGAATAACTAGGGCCTATACCAAGGGGCCGGTTCTAATCGCAAAGCAAAACGTGTCTAGCACTATAGACTCACACACAGCTTGTATGAACCCCCTCTAGGTTGGGTTTGGATCTATGGGCCAGGAGGGCAAAGTCCACCTTGAAACGCTCGGCCCATGTTCTGAAGGAAGGAGGGATGCTTTTGAATATTAGATTATTTCTCTCCTTCCAGATACTGTAAACCGTTGAGTTCGTAGAGACAATAAACTATCGAGTTCTTTAACAACATATCTCTCCCCTCTTAGAGACATGTAAATTCTCCCCTCTTAATGATAGTGCATCTCTCTCTTCCTTTCTTACAAGAGATTTGTGGATAAGTTTTGATGTGCATCTCTCTCCCCCTTTGACATCAATTTCCAAGAAGGCTAAGCTCCAAGGTTGTGAGTCAAGTGAGTGTGGTCCTGGAGAAGCACGACTAGCCATAATGTAGTTTTGGCTGCAGACAGAGGAAAAGAATCATTGAGTGGAGCTAGAAATAAAGAAAAAATAGGTTTGGCAAAGCATTCTTTCAACAGTGAAATCGGTGACTTTGATTGATTTCGATCGGTGACTTCGAGATCGAGAGATCACAGATAGAGCACATTGGTGAATCTGAATTAGTCCTTTTCGGTGGAACCGATGAACCATCTGCAGAGTTATTTGCACTTTGGTGTGGCCGATGGGTTCAGATCGGAGAGACCGAATTCAGCATAGAAGGGCAGTTTTGTCAACTCAGCTCACTTGCAATAGAGTTCTCACAAAAAATTTCAAGGAATTTGAATAGGATTTGCAATGAATTTACCAAAGTCTAATTACAACAGGAAGCAGAAAAATCTAGATGAAGTTTTTTAAATAAGGAGAAGGCACTCTAGCAAAAGAAAGGCAAAGAAAGCGCAAAAGAAATGAGAACACTCAGATTACTTCATCTAGAGAGAGTCAGCGACTAACTCACCTATGTTAGAGTATATTAACTTAGGAGTCAAGTGAGTT